CAGAGGGAGCTGCAGCACGTTGTTCCTCAGGTTCTTGCTGCGGACCCGGTCCAGCTCGGCGCCCGGCCCCGCCGCCCGGCTGGAGAACAGCTCCACGCGGGCCTGCCCCGGCCTCCCCGCGGCGCCCAAAAAAAAAAGAAACAAACTTACACATTTTCACACTAATAGCAAATTTCAAATTATATTTTAGGCCTCATTTCTCCCCAAACACTCTCCACGACAGTAGAAAAGTTAAATTAAAAACTGAAAATGAACCCCGACGCTTGGAAGAAGTCGCCTGAGTTTGTAGACACGTAGCAGAATGAAGGAAGACGTCCGGCTGAGCGTGCGTGCTTACGGCGTCCGCGTGCTGGGTGTTACTTACTCTTTACACTCCTTGGACACGTGGGGCGGGACCGTGTATTTGCAATCCATGATCATCGTCAACGTCTCACTGTCGTTGGCCTCCTGAAAGGGCGGCTGCCCGCACACCAGCATGAAGAGGATCACTCCGAGGCTCCATATATCTGCAAACCAGAGACACTGTGAGTAACCGCAGCGGTCTGGGGACGGCGGGCTGGCCATACGCATGCGTGTGTGCACCTGCCAGCGAGAGCACGCCTATCTCCACGCAGAACCCAGGAGCAACACTGGAGCCGGCGGGGCAGGACACGTGCCCGCGCGCTGCTCACGCCCACTGCAGGCCGAGTATGGCCAGGGTGCAGGGGATGGTCAAGGAACATTCGGCGACGAGGAGAAGGAGCCCCTGCTGTCAGTGAGAACGCCAGCTGCAAAGCTCCTGTCCCGGCCTCAAGCCAGGGGGCAACACACTCGGGTCTCCCCATTCGGACCACAGCAGAGACAGAACCAAAGTAGGAGTATTCTGAGACCCGAGGAGCCCAGGGTCACAATCATCCCAGCTGTATTTTTATAAGGTTTAGGGCAGGCCCGGCGTGTGCAGGGGGGTCGGGATCTGAACCTGGAACCTCCCACATGGCTTCCAGCGCCACAGTGGGGTGCCCGAGCGCCTGCACCACCGCGGCTGGGCCTTGGTCGTCTCTGCTTCGACCCTGCCAGGTTACCAGGGCATGTAGTTGTGGTCGGTTAGGGTAAGGACGTTAAAGCTCAGAGAGGGCGCGACTATGGCTCCTGGTGAGAAATGCTCACCTCCGAGTAGGGGCACCCGCGAGCTCCCTGCAGCAGGATTTTGGACACACACGTGTCTGGAGTCAATCTTCCACGCTGACTTTTCCTGGACCTTCACGCTGGGGAACGACAGGCCGCTCTGCGTGTCCAGAATGTACCTGGCACCCCCGTGCAGCTGGGAGCCCAGGCAGAGGCCCATGAGTTTGAGGCTCTCCACGAGCTCCCCGGCGCTGCGCGAGGCCAGCTGCGTGGCGGTGCCGGGGCCGGGTGCCCGAGCGCCTGCACCACCGCGGCTGGGCCTTGGTCGTCTCTGCTTCGACCCTGCCAGGTTACCAGGGCATGTAGTTGTGGTCGGTTAGGGTAAGGACGTTAAAGCTCAGAGAGGGCGCGACTATGGCTCCTGGTGAGAAATGCTCACCTCCGAGTAGGGGCACCCGCGAGCTCCCTGCAGCAGGATTTTGGACACACACGTGTCTGGAGTCATTTTCAAGCCACCAGGCCCAGGACTCCAACTGCAGTTGCTCATGTGGAAGTCCAGTGGTTTAACCTGCATGCCACCTGCTGGCCCCAGAAAACTTAAAATACGTAGCTCCCTGATGTCTCATAGAATCTCGAACATTCTTATTAAACATGACACACACACCCCCAGCAGGCGGGGCTGCAGCGTCCTGTCTCCGGAAAGGCCGCAGGTGGCAAGCTCCTTCCTCGGGTGGGGTCTGGTATTACCGGCTCCAGGAAGTGGAGGCTGGGGAGGGGTGAGGGAGGGCTGCTGTCCTGTCACCTCCTTCCCCCTTCTGCTTCAGGCCAGGCCGAGTGTCCCTGAGGCGGAGGGACGCCACTGGCCCGGCTTCCTTGATGACGTGGTGGCCTTCCTTAATGCCTGGGTGGCCTTGGGGCTCCCACGCAAACCGGAGGCACTTCTGACGCTCGGTGCCGGGAACCAGGCCTGAGTCATACCTCTCCCACACGAGACCCTGTGAGGCCGCCCTGCGGAGCCCAGACACCTCCCCCGAGCCAAGGGGAGCCCCAGCTCCGGCGACGGTCAGTGTTGGGGCGGTGCTCATGGGAGACACCCTCGTGAGGAGCGGGCACGAGGCCACCAGCAGGGCGGCAGATGTGACGTGGCCTCCTAACAGGAGTTCCCCGAGACCCTCACGGGGACGCAAGGGGACTCGCCAGGGACCAGCTCTACCACAGGCACGTGGTGCCATCCCGGTGCACACCACCCGGCGGTGACAGACGCGGTGCAGCTTCACCTTTCACCTGGACAGCGCGACCGGTGAGGTTACGGGCCACATCTCGGAACGTTCGGCTCTGGCCGGCTCTGCCCGGCTCTGGCCGGCTCTGGCCGGACGCAGCGAGAGCCTCTGCGCTGGCAGCTCCCGCGCCCAAGGCCCCGCAGCCTGGCCGAGCACGTGCCCGCCTACCAGCTGACAGATCACGCTGACGTTTCTGAAACTGCTCTTTAAAACACCGAGTCCCTCGCGGGCCAGCTGGTGGCGTGGTGGTTGAGGCACCTGGACAGCACACGGCCTACTCTAGGGTTCAAGTCCTGGACCTGGTGGCTTGACAAGCGCACAGACACCACAAGACACCTGTACATGCCCAGGATCCCAAGAGGAGAGATCTCGGCGTGGCTGCCCCTGGGGAGCGCCTTTTCACTTCCCCTGTCCTTCTGCCTCTCTCCAGTGAGTGCCGTATGGCAAAAAATCTTTCTGAAAAGCAAAACAAACCAAGTGAGTCTCTCGCAAAAGGCTGAGGTGAGCCGACACCAGGTGGACAGACCAGCGACTGGAGGGACCCGTGATGGTCACCTGTGAATGGCGACAGCTGGCTAAGGCTCACACCGGTGCTTCTTTTCTTGTTTTTCAAGATGTCTGGTACACGGCACATGTGCTTGCTGGAGAGACAGAGAGAGAAAGCGAGAAATCACCCCCAGGGGGGATGGCCACGCTGCAGTCCCTTCTCCTCCATTCTCCTCTCGGGATCTTGGGCACGCACGCACACGTGCCCGGCGTGAGTTTTAACTACGCTGGGTCCAAGCCTTGAACTGCAGTCAGTCACATGGGAGTCCAGTAACGTAACCATTATGCCACCTGCTGGCCCCCAGGTTCTTTCGAAAGGCACGAAATCTTAGATAAACAAACCTTTCTGGCACTGAGATACGAAGTCACTGAGGTGTGTCCCTCGAGAAAGCACCGTGCTGTCCCCGGCTTCCTACAACGCTTCACCCCTCACTTGAGGATAAAGAGAAATAAACATAAACATTGCAACTTTAATAGCAAGATGTAAAATTCAGAGTATTAGCTCCTGAAATGTCTGCCTGCCTCGTTGCCCGAGATAACACCTAAATTACATCCATGGTTTACAGTGTGGAGGAGGGAATTCAAAGTCTACGGAGTGGAGTTCAAGTTCTGGTGCCAAACTACCTGGACCATGCAGTGTCTCCCTGACACGCACTGTCTCCCTGACACGCACTGTCTCCCTGACATGCAGTGTCTCCCTGACACGCAGTGTCTCCCTGACACGCAGTGCCTTCCTGACACACAGTCCCTTCCTGACACGCAGTGCCTTCCTGACACGCACTGGACGTGGGCGCCTCCTTGGACAACTTGTTCTCCTGTACTAAGAATCACAATGAACGTATCAACTAGCCGGTGCCGTATTACACGTCACACGGAAACTCGGCTCAAGAGCTCTAAATCAGAGCCGCACACTCGCTGCGGTGCGGCCGTGGGAGTCCTCGCTCAGCAGCCGGGGAGGCGCACAGGCGCCGGGCCACAGGCACCCCGACAGCAGCCCGTCGGTCACAGGCGACTCTCCTCTTCACGCCGCCCGGTAACTTCCATCTCCTTCAGGCACCGTCTACACTGAGCTCGCCGTTCCAGCAAGGGCCGACTGCGCTCACGCCGCACAGCACCGCGCCGCGGCTGTCCCCGCCCCTCTGGGCCTCCGCAGTCAACCTGACCCCACAGGGGTCTCCATGTCTCCATGTCGTCTATAAAGCTTGCCCCTTCCACTGATGCATTCATGGCGCCCACGGTGCTGCAGGTGCCGGCACCCATCAGGCCATGGCCGCGTAGGTGCCACTGCACGGGCTCCCTACAACCAGGAAGTCCTACGCCCACCGGGCACACACCTGCAGGCGGGCAAGTGTGGGCAGGTGCTGTTCACCAGGACCCGCCAAGCAACCTTCCGAAGGGCAGCCAGGCTACACCTTCCCCAGCACCGGAGAGGCCAGCCCCATGGCCACCAGCCCTCGGTACTGCCGTCCCACCACGTCGGCCATTTGAACGGCCCTGTGGGCTCTCTGCCCACTGCTGCCCGGAGCACCAGTGTGCTTGCCTGCGGTCGGTCCTCCCGTGCCCTGTCCACGCCTGCGGTCGGCCCCCCCCGTGCCCTGTCCACGCCTGCGGTCGGCCCCCCCC